TAGAGCTCTGAGAAATCAAAGTGAAGAAAGTTGGAAGTTAAGGAGCAGAACACAAGATTTCAAAGGGCAGCTCAGAAAGACAAAGTATTTAAAAGAAATGTGCAAAGAGCTGGAGTGGATAATCAAAAGGGCCAAAAAGAGAAACTACTAACATCAACAAGGTCAGAAGTGTCACTGAGGAATATTTTTTATAATAATGATTCAACCTTAAGAAACATGTCAAAATTAATACAATTAACATTAAAGAAGAAACAAAAGCTTTCCTCAGGATAGAGTTGAATGGCTACAATTTAATCCTTCCTTTCTCATCTGTGTATCAAGTACCAGGTGGGGGCTGCCTCCTCAGAGCCCACTCTACCCCTCTACCCGCAGGCACAGTCTCATCCACATCAAGGGTCTTATAATGCCTGCCCAGCCCCGGGCGGAACTGAAACACTTTCTCCAGGTAAGTATTTGGGAGATAAAATCCACATCAGATGCAGAGGAGGAGGGTGGGCAAGGGGGAAAGGTGCTTGTCAGGGGTTAAGGATTAGAGGAGCAGCTGAGGAGAAAGGAAATCCAGGGCATAAAAGTAGCCACTTTTAGATGTTGGGGCTCTGAATCTTCGAAGGGTGCCTCAACCTCTTGGTCATATATAAGTCCTGTATTCTAGACAGAAGGCCTAAACCCAGGATGCCTAGAAGCCAGCATCTTTCCGCAGCAGAAACCATCTAGCCTCATTTGAAATAGAAGGAAGGAGGAGGAATGAAAGATTAAACCTAGGAACAGAAGTCACTTATTTAAACTTATTTAACCAACACGTAAACAGAAATAACCACACTTTTCTAAGAAAGCCTTTTAACTCATTTGATCCATAGAACAACACAAAAGGTAGTTCTTTTCTTTTCAAGGATCTCTTAAAATCTTCTCCTGGCTTCACAGACAAGGAAATAGAAATTAAATGAGACCGCCCAGCCACCAGCTGACATCACATAACAGGTAAAGGGTGGAGCCAAAATACATGCAAGCAGTGTGAGCCCCCAAACCAAAGCCCAAGCCAGGCTGTCCAGCTGATGGCGACCTCCATCCACCTCAGAAAGGAGCACACTGCCCCTTGTTTCTTTTGTTGGTGAGTGGTGATTTGAACTGTCCACCTTTGGGCTAGCAGTCTAGCATATAACTTACTATGTCACTGGGGCAAACCTCAGGTCAATTTGGTATCTAGTCCAAATGGCAAAATTGTTACTGTCCAGTCAACTCTGACTCAAGAGTGACTCTACAGAACAGGCTAGAATTATCCCGCATGGTTTGAGGGCTGTCATTTTTACAGAAGCAGGCTATTATATCTTTTTCTTATACAGAAAGTTATTCAAACTTTCCTTCCTTCCTTCCTTCCTTCCTTCCTTCCTTCCTTCCTTCCTTCCTTCCTTCCTTCCTTCCTTTTTTTGTGAGAAGTTTTTTGGGTGTGTTTTTTTTAATTTTATGGAAGATCTATCAACAATCTCCATTATGCAGATGACACAACCCTGCTTGCTG